GCGCATTTTATATATCATGCGCATTAATGCGCATTCATGCGCATTTTATTATAAAATGCGCATTTTTCCCACCTCTAACCATACACCAACCACCTCCAGCTATAGTATCCGTATATACATTGTCACAGATAAAACCGTAGACCAGCATCCTCGCAAAACGATCGTCATAATGGCCCTAAACAGAATCGTTAATGCGAACGACAATCCCTCTGAAACATTACTCAGCCAAGCCCCCAATCGAAACAGCACAATCTTAAGTCATGCACAAGCCCACAATATGAAGACTCACCACCTGACCAAATAAAGGAAAGGTCAATTGGGCTAACCCGTCTGTTAAGTGGAGATTCGACGATGGAAGAATGGCGCAAGTCTTTTGTTCTTCCTCCTTGAACATGCTAAAGGTATGAAGGCGGGGGCTAAAACTAAGCAGAAAGGGAAAAACGGCTTGTAATTAGTACATGCGATAGTGTGTAATGTGTAATTCCCACTCAACATAAATAATTAGTAAAATACCTTAAATAACCGTTCCAAACAAAAGATCAATACCAATCGAAAAATCATACACTCTTTAAAATTCCATTTACTTATTCGTAACGCACTCGATAGTCGCCTTAGTCTGTACCAAATCGAATTTGCCTCACCTTGCCTTTCGCGTAACGTTACGCGACGTCGACGAATTTCGAGCAATAATCCGTCGTATTCCCCTGTTTGTTGGTGTGTGTGTTTTTGTTCATTTAGCCTCTGACAACATCTTAAATTGTAAAGTATTGTATTATCTTGTGCCAATATTTGATTTATATTTATTTAAACAAACCAGAGAATAAAAGATACAAAAAAAACTTTATTACTATAACTTCATAAAATAAACCATCTTAGACCGTAACAAAAAAACTTTAAAATTAATTCCATGAAGATTTTACGAAGAAATCTTAGACTTTTTATTATACTCTAACTAGAGGTGGGAAAAATGCGTATTTTATAATAAAATGCGCATTTTATAATAAAATGCGCATGAATGCGCATTAATGCGCATGATACCGCATGATAAAAATTTTTTTTTAATTATTATCTTTATTACTGATAATATATCTAAATAAAGAT